ATTCTTCTAACTCTTTGCCTTTGGTTCCTGATTTATTTCCTCCAGTCATGCAAGGTTTGCAGCTTTGAAAGCTGTCTCTGATTATCATATTCCAGAATGTCAGCTATAAGTATCATCTTGAAGATATGACAAGAAAACTACAATAAAGTAGGAACCTAGGCCGGGGTACATAAGCCCAGAGGACTTTTGGGAGAGGAAGTTTGAAACTTCAAATCCTTTATCTGCATAATACAGACAATCATAATACAGATAATCCTTGACTTATGACCACAATTGAGACCAAAATTTCTGTTAAGACATTTCTATATAAATTTTGACCCCTTTTTAATGATCTTTTTTTATGATGCAACTTGTCTTGTTAAGTGAATCACTGCAGTTGATAAATTACTAAGCAAGTTGTTAAATGAATCTGGCTATCCCATTGACTTTGCTTATCAGAAAGGTCGCAAAAAGTGATCACATGATCCTGGGGATACTGCAAATGTCATATCTCTGGAAAATGATCATAGGTCACTTTTTTCAGTGCAGTTATAATTTGAATGGTCACTAAATGAACTGTTAGGATTCAGCATTTTCTTTATTTAAACAATCTTTTTGTTAAAGGACACACTTTGTTTAAAAATACACTTGCAGTGATTTAAAAATGCCCTCTTAAGATTTCAATAAGGTGATGGTATTTGTGCATACAACAAAATAATCAAGTAAACATTTCTAAGAAAGAATGAGAGATTCCTGTTATAGGCACAAACCATTAACAATTTTTCTGCTTTCAAGACTTTAGTTTTCTTATAAGCTGTCTGTTTGTCTACATGGTGATTATGTTTGATATGTTTTATTTTATTATTTTTATTAGTTTATAATACATAATACAAAAATTCAAAAGAAAATAGGAGAAAAATAGGGAAGGAAAAAGGGAGAGGAAAAGTGTGGAGCAACAGAAAAAAGAAAGAAAAGGCACTGACGTTCGACTTCCTTTGATACATTAGAATAAGGTAATAAATCAAACCTCAACATTTTACTTTTACATAATATAAACTAGCCATTTCTATAACAAATTATTGATAAAAACCAATTTTTTTTCCACCTCAAGCACAAAGTCCTAAAGTGGTTTCCAAGCAGTTAATCCTAGGTAATTGCATTTTTGTCTTTAATCAAAGCAGTCAACTTGGCCATCTCTGCTAACTCCATTAGCTTTTGGAACCATTCATCCATTGTAGAAATCAGTGTCCTTCCATTTTTGTGCATAAAGTAATCTTGCTGCCACCAACATATATAACATCACAATTCCAAAATAAATTTCCAAGTCTTTTTTCCATTAAACCCAGAAGAAAGTCAAACCGATAACTCATTTTACCTACTTTGAATCTTTTTTTCAATTGCAAATATGTAAACCAATGACAGATGCGTCCTTCTAATTATAATTCCTCTTTGGGTTTGACAATAGGATCACCAAAATTAAAAAATCTTATTTGACCATAAGTCCACCAGTCTGGCTTTGCTATCATTTCCTTTCTTAAAAAAGCTTCCTGGGGTGAAATCCAGAGGGGCAACTTTAAAAAAAACTTATGTATTTATTCTTAACTGTTCAGATGGCACATCTAACAAAATGGTTATAAAAATCAACATTTACTTTAACCTTGTCATACCATAAATAGTCATACCATCCAAATCTTAATTCATGGCCCTCTAAATTAAGTAATTTCTTATTCAGAAGATTAATCCACATGTTTAGCGAAGTCTGGTAAACCCAAACCTCCTTTTTCCTTACCATCTTGCAGTAATTTGTATCTAACTCTTGTTTTTTCCCCTTGCCATATATTAGATGAACTGTTGTTAAGTCGATGGACTACCTGTTCTATATATCTGTGTGCATGCATATCTGGTTTTCTGCTGATGCTGGCCTAAATAGTGTATGAACTGGGACAGCTATCTGAACTTTGCAAAAGATGCAACTGCTTTAAAATTCAGAGATGCTTTTGTTTACAAAAATATACCTTATGAAATATCTCTCTAAAAACTTGCAGAGTCCTGCAAATCAACTTTTCTAATAATCTGACAAATGCCACAAGAAAAACAGTAGGGGGAAAAAGTTTCTTAAAAATTCGTATGCAAGTACATTCTGCATATAAACAACCTTCTAAAATAATATCTCTTCTTTTAACACCAACACAGTTTCTAAAAATGCATCGCCTGGTCACTAGAGGGTAAGGAGGCTAATTTCAGAACATTTTATAATGCAGACACAAAACTGGATGGGATTATTTATGATCAGGACAGAAAAATAGTAACATTGCTCATAGATAGTTTTAAAGTTCATGGTTTTAGCTATCATAACAGATCCATGCAACAAATTCAGCATTTTTTCTGTATGAACATTAATAAACAGTTATATTTAATTTACATACAATTTAACTTCCACAATCCACAACTCTGTTACAAATTTCACATGAGTGTTGGATAAAGATCAGGTCCTTGGCCTGAAAATAATGCAAATGTTTTGTTGAGTGACACTCTAAACATACAGGCCAGGGGTTTAAATAAAAAAACAAACTCTCAGACTCTATTGATTTCCAATATAAAAAAACAAACTTTAAGGGTCTAGGCCAGCAATACAGATCTTGGCTAAATGCTAGAGATTATATTATTCTATTTAAATTTTTAAAATCTCTTTCATTCTGAATTAACTTTTTTTCTGCTGTTGTGTACACCTAGATCTTTAAATACACTTGTAAATGTAAATGGTATATAAAGAATTGAGCTGGAACATTCATTCACTTATAGCAATTGAAAAAGAAGCCTAGGACATGATACAGTAGGCAGTAATGTAGTTTGTAAACCTTGGCAAAATATTTTGCAAACTGTGGCTCATGGTCTAATATGTGTGAATCCAGGCACTGTGATTATTTCAGAAACACAGTTAAGCAAGCTAACTTAGCAGCATATGACTCTCCTAATCATCTCCAAAAATCTTTAAAATTCACATACAAACATTGTAATAAATAATCTTCTTGAGTTTCCTTTACAGTATGTAAACCAGACTGAGATGGGGAAATAATTTATTTCACTATGAATTAAAAACTGTGAATTAGAATTAAAATTTATAATTCTAATTAGAATTATAATGTATTAATTAGAAGCTAGTGTTCACATAGCACATTGTTTTATTGAGTAAACCATAATTGCATAGATGAAATTTCTGTTTAGAAAAATAAAAAGACTACAGTGAATCATTAAAGCTTTTTAAAATAAAACAGAGGTCACTTTTTTAAAATTACCTCAGGCATATTTGAAAAATTAAAGCTTAGTGTAGAATTTTATACTAAAAATATTTAGTTCACAGTCAAATCAGACAGACTGGAAGGCTACACCTTTTTGAAAAATGGGTATTAGAAGTACTTTTGTCTATGATTTTAAAAATAAATTAGTACTGTAGTCATTCCAAAGCTGTCCTGACATTGTTGCATATTTGTATGCCTTTACATAGAAAGCAATAAATATTAACATTTAAACATCTGGTTATTAAAAGGCATTTCTTTAAACCATGAATACTTATGATTTGGAACAGTAGATGGGTAATACGCTTTTTCAATTACTAAACTAATATACTGCCACAGAAAAGAGCTTTCAGCTTGTCTAAATTTTCTTTTCTATTAAAAATATTTAGTGCACGCTTTTTAAAATTGTATAAGTTTATGCTCTCATCTAACAGTATAGTTAACATTTGTACAACAAATCAGGTATTTGTGTTATCCTATTGTCATAACACAATATATGAGTCAACTGTTCTCTCATAGTTGTATCACTTAAGTATTAAAGTTCCTTTCAATAGAACTAAACCAAATATATGGAGCATGTCTATTTTTATAATTAAACAGAGTTAATAGTTTTAGGAATGTTTCCAATTATGAAACATCAGAGGAACATAAGAATTACAACACTTCTGCAGTTGCCCATATCAGCCCCATTCAGCCCTACTACTCTACAGTATTTATTTTTTATATTTATATTCCAATTTTTCTTTTAGAGGTCAAGGTATGGCTTGGAATGGAAATCTCTAATATGTTATCCCCACCTAAACAACTTTGTAAAGTTAATTAGGCAAAGTGACTAATCCAGAATCACCCAGTGAGTTTCCATGGTTAAAAATGAACTCAAACATGAGTCTCCCTTCGTCTTAGTCCTCCAATAAAGCAATATGCTACTTTGCACAGCAGCTCCTGGAATCCTTTAAACTAAGGTGTCATGGCAACACTAAACTTGGAATAATTCCCCAATCACTGGTTTGTGCGACACAGGAGCGAGGCTAGACGGCTTGTGGGCCAAAATGCTCCTTCTGCTCAACCTGGCATGCGAAGCCCAGCCCCTTGCCGGGGCCCAGCAGTCGCCCAGAAGACCCTACCCTTCACTGTCTCCTGCCGCTTTAACTAAGCAAAAGACTCGCCTCCCACTCGCTCCCTTCCAGTTGCCGGCCAGGCTCCAACTCCACCCTCAACTGTCAACAGCTGCAGAGGCGGGGTGAAGGAACGCCGAAGAGAAGCGGGGAGACACCCTCCCGAGTCCAGATTTGACTATGCTGAGGAGCACTGGCGGCGTTGTATTGGAGAACATCGCCTATTGCTAGTTTTTGTTAATCTAATTATCTTAGAATTAGATAATACAACCCAGAAGGGGCTGGAAGGACTGTGGTTAGAAAAGGGCTCACGTGCCTACGCGCGGGATTTGCGAGGTTCAGTAAGAACAGAGGGTAATTACGAACCTAAATCTACTAACCCTTAAAATAGTCTGTTGAAAATGCAAGACCCGAACGCGGCTTTTCTTCGTCAAAACGCCGTCTGCGAAATATCCCTGATACACACACTGCTTGTTCTACCCCGCCCTGAACAACTTGCAGCCGAGAGGAATAAAAACCAGGACAAGCCTCTCCCCGTTGCTCTTTCTCCTATGCCCAGCCCTTCTCCTATTTAAAAGTGCATCTAAAATGCTCCCCCGAGTATCCTTACCCGCTGGCGGGTTTGCTGTCCCCGAAATGAGTAGCCCCTGTCTCCATAGTTTGAAACAGGCTCTTGCGCTGCCTTGAATGAAACTTCTCAACTCAATCAAATTGCAGCTGGCGGTGGGGTAGATGGCGGGCGTCTGCTGGGCCAATTGGTTGGCGCGCCGTGTTTCAGTCACGCCGGACTCCCACTCTGAGTTTCGAGCTCCCTGCCTTCTCCTGTGTGAGAGCGCGGGGCGTCTAAAAAGAGGATACACGCGGAGTGGAAAGTTATTGCTGGCTCTCGCCTGGCATCCAGGGAGCAACTAGAAAGGCAACTTCCGTCCCCGAGGCCAAGAGAGAGGGAGAGGCACAGGCAAGGGCAATCTCTTCGTTTGCTGTCCCGTTGCGGAGCTGAATGTCCTGCAGGATAACAACGACTTTTCGTTGTTGAGTTTGCCAGGAAGGCAGAGAGGGAAGCTATGCAATATTTATAGGCAGGTGTTTTCTTTCGGAGGCCCAACGAACCGGATGTGTTGTCTGAACAAATTAGCGTATCAGGAGCAACTGCTGATAATTAAAGCAGCAGAACATATCCCCATATGTAGGTATCGGCCAAATTATTCCTAAAACACTTATAAAGTAAGCACAAGGTAGGGTGCGTGATATTAAAACGTTCACAAATGGCTTGTATGATAGACCTTAGGCTGAAGTAGTGCAACATTCTCTCCCATTCCGCTGGGAAGGAATTCTTTTTTAAAGACAGAGCTGTTAAATAATGCCGAACCGACATTCATAATCTTGGATCTGAAATGGAGAACTAAGCTGTTGCACCTGTTATAGAGCTGCAGTAAAATAGTTACTCGCCGACAATACTGTAGTCCAAAGCTCGCTTCAAGCTCAAATACCGCTTTGGCTCGTGCGAAGGGCAGGTTCCTCGCCGTAGAAATTTAGATGAAGGCTGGGGACGTGGAGCGAGCACTGTATTATGTGACTGCTCTGCTCTAGGCGAATATAGCAACCTTACAAGGTCGAGGGAGAAAGGCAAGCGGTGGTGCACCACGTTTTTGTCAGTGGTTGCCGGCAAAAGCGGGCTTGCGAACAAATGCAGATCACGTACCTGCCACAGTCAGAGAAAGGATTTTGCGTACGTAATCAAGAATCCGAAAAGTTGATTCTTGCCTCGAGTGTGTGTCTGAAAAAGAAGCCCCATTCCTTCCCTAAATGCTGAATCCCTTAAAATAGGAGGGCAGTTTTAAATTTCTCGGGACTGTAGTGAAGTTCTGAAATGAAAGCTTGGGGGAGGGAAGGGGTTTTTTTTTTTTTTTTGAGGAATGAATATATAAATTCAGAGTCCTCTAATGTTAGCAAGATCAAAGCTTCTCATTATATAGCCACACTTTTTGTTTCAAAACAATTTAAAAACAAAGGTATTTTGAGGTTATTACATTGCTATAAAAGACCCTCAGAGCCAATAGCCCTATTAAAATTGCTTATATTCTCATAATGGTAATCTTTTGCAAATCTGTTGGTTTATTATTTAATTCTGTGTAAAATTAAATGCACATATTTTATCTCTTGAGCCTCTAGCTTTTAAGAATGAATATCAATAAAGTTAAACTAATATTTAAGAAAATAAGGCTATCTTTCAATATAAAGGAATGTCTATTTTATAGTGATGCATCTGATATGGCCTCTGATAATGTCTGAGTTTAGTTTAGTTTATTGTCATTGCACCTCGTACAATGAAATCATACACCATCTTCAGTGCACATCATGACCATGAAAATAAACACAAGCACACATCCTTCACACTCCACACATTGAACCAAAAACCCATAACACCACACCAACACTGTACTATACAGTAGAAAATCTCCTTGTACAAATGGCAATCACTGTAGCAGAATGAAGAGCTGGCAAGTAGACCAGCTCTTTGTTACTTCCTCTTGTTGAAAGGTGCCAAAATGCCTTTCTTTCAAGGATTTGATTTTCCCGCTGGGAGAGCTCCGGCGCAAGGATACGGACAATTGCTTGAAAGCTGGATCTTTTTATTTTTTCAGGAAGGCGGAGAACAGGGAGAAGTCTGCGTTCCTGGGCTAGCTAGCTTCTTATGGTAAGTCCCTGGTTTTTTATACCCTTTTCTCCCTTTGTAAGTTGATTTTGTGTGAATGTATTTGTGCTTAATGTTTCAAATCCTGTTTGAGTTTGTCTTTATTCCCGCTGGAGGGCAAACTCCGCGGGGTGCGGAAGGCAAACTCCGCGGGGTGGCCAGATTGTATTTTTGGTTTTCTCTAATCTCTTTTAGCTTTAAGATAGTTTTTCATATTTGTTCTGTGGCAATCTCCTGTCTGTCCCTTTTGTAATTTATATTTTGTGTCTTTTGTCTGTTTGTTTTGCTTATTTGGTATGTCCTGTGTTTGTAAGGGTTTTCTAAATTATCTTTTTGTTTCCTTTTCTTATTTGTCTAGTTTTCTTAATTACTTAGGCTTTTGTCTATAGGGATTCTTTAATACCTTTTTTATTTGATTCCTTTTCCTATGTAAGTTTGTTTTATGGTTGACCTGATGTCCCCCTTGGGCTTTTCCTGTTTTTTGTGACACTACTGTCTTCATGAAGTTCCCTTTCCACACTCTCCAGAGGATTGCCCTTAAATACTCCAAAAAGTTGTTTCTTGTGAGCAGCTTCTAAGCATGTGGAGGGTGAGAGAAAGCCATCTTGTTCAAACCTTTAAAAGGGCACTACAGTTGTATACTTCCTTTTTGGGAAATTACAAAACTGATTAAGGGTTCAGATGGATTTGAAATAAGATATTGGTATTAATTATAAGAATTCTTCCTATTGGAAAATCCTTTTGTTTTGAATTCTTAAAAAAGATATGATTTTGAAGACTGGACACAGAGAACCAAAAGGTTCTCTGAATTATAAAGAGAAGAATACTTAAATTGAACTACTAATATAGAATGGAGCAAAACTATTTTGCTATATTAGACTGTGTATAAATATTGTTAAGAAAGAGAAACAAATTTTATAGAACAAGACTTAGATTAATCTGGAAGTCGATTTAAAAATGACTGATTATAAGAATTATATAGAAAAAGTGCTTCACTGAATATTCAATGAAACTAACTAACATTGTAATAATTAAAAAGAGTTTAGAAATAACAAAGAAAGAATTCCCCTGGGGAATTCTGGGAGTTGAAGTCCACAAGTCTTAAGGTTGCCAAGGTTGGAGGTCCTTGCTTTAGAGTGTTTAATTCTTCCAATTCACAATTATAAATTTGTCTAATCAGTTCTAATACCAGATCATCTTTAATCCACTACCTGTTACTTGGAAGAAACAAGACATAACTTCTCAAGATGGTCCTATTAAACTAAAATCTAGGAAAGAAAGAAGAAAGAAAGAAAGAAAGAAAGAAAGAAAGAAAGAAAGAAAGAAAGAAAGAAGAAAGAAAGAAAGAAAGAAAGAAAGAAAGAAAGAAAGAAAGAAAGAAAGAAAGAAAGAAAGAAAGAAAGAAATGGTGCGGGTGTGCAAGAGGTATTGCAGGGTGCACAACAGAAATAAGAGTGTGCTTATTCTATTAAATGGAAGTGAGAACTGAGTATATCAGGAAAAACATAAAAATAATTTGAATGAAGTTGCTTTAGTATGTGTGTAACTAAAGAGTGTTTTTAAAAAATGAATGGTTCCTAAATTAAAATGGATTAAATGCCAGTTAGTGGTTACTATAAAGAAGTACATTGGGATGATTTGGTCAAAGAGAATAAGTGAGGAATTAACCTATAAAACCAATACAGTATAATTACAGAAGAATCTTGGAGGAGGAAGATCAAGGGTATTGTGTTGGATGGAGTGGATAAGATCCCCAAAAAGAGAAAGCCACATAAGAAAAGGAAAGGACAATATACTATGAACATTTTAGAAGTCAGGATAGCTTCAAGGACAAACACTGAATGGAAAATATAGAAAAGACGGAATAGTATGGAGGTAAGTTCGTTTTACCTATGTTGCCTTTCCTTTCTATTATTTCATGCCTTTAATTTCTTTTAGTCTTTCTGCACTCAGCATAATGTTGCTAACTCAAAAAGGAATAGTATAGTAATTTGTGTATACATTGAACAATTGTTTTAAGATAATCATTTTTATTTATATTGATTTTTTAAATTTTAAATTGATTTTTTTGTTTAAATCTTTTGTAAAACATCAAAACAATTCAAAAAACATTATCTTCTATGTTTGACCTATGTTTTATTCTATATGCTGATACAAAGATGATAAATACAATACATGGCAAAATATTTTACCTCCTTTAAAAGAGAATTTGAGGTAATAGGGGAGACCTGGGCAAAGATAGAAATCTGAATTTAAATTTTGTTTCTATCCAACCTTTATTCTTTTTTCAAATAACTCAAGGTAGCAAACATTTATTTTTTTCTTTATTATTAATTTTTTAATGCCACCCATCTTCCTTATAAGATAACTCTGGGTGGAATATATCCAACACTCTTTCCTCCTCCTATTTTCTCCACGGTAGCAACCTTTGAGGTGAGTTGGACTGAAAGAGACTGACTGATACAAGGTCACTCAGCTGGCTTTCATAGTTAAGGCAGGACTAGAATTCATGGTCTCCTGGTTTCTAGCCAGTAACTAGAAAGTAGACAAAAGAGAACAATTATGTTTTTTAAGTAAGCCTTTTACACATCAAAACAGGTGAAAAACTTAATTGCAAATGTTCTAAATTAGTTTCTGAATTTGCCAGTCAAACAGGACAGGCCACAAAATTGTGCAAGAAAAAAATTGTTGCTTATGAGAAGCATCTTCAAAGGAAAAATAGAAGAGAACATTGCCTCAACATGCAGGATATTCAGGTTAGTAAACATACATTCTTGTTTCTTCTTTTTTCTTGGTCTAATATTAAAGCAGCTTCTTTTTTCAATCTTCTGCATGATCCTGAAAATACACACAAATGTTTGAAGAAGTCAACTAATTAAAATCAATGTAACCCTTAAAGCATTATTTTTTCAGCCTATTAATTTATTTAAAAATCAGAATGTTCAGAATATAAAGTTTGGCATGCGGTTAATAAAATACAGTTTTTGATAGATTTGATTTGTCTTTTATAAAACTTTTTTTTATTAGTGATATGTTTAATTTCAGTCAGATCTATCCATGATACATAAAATACTGTATGGAACAAAGCTGTGACTGAATCTAGATATTCTTCTTCAGATACCACAAAGCTTCCTCCCAGAAGGTAACAAGGAAAACAGATCATGATGAGGATGTGCAATGTCCCAGACAATCCTGTGAATACTGCTCAAGCATCTTGTATATGTTATGTCCTGGATAGAAGGAAGTGAACTACCAATAATCTTTTCTGCCATCCTCACCACTCTCTACACTGCCTTTTTGTCTGAAGCAGTAATGCTTC